AAATATTCGCCATCGTCGTCGGAGGCTTTCCTCTTGTGCCACGGCCACTGCATGTCTGCGGGAGGCGAGGCAAGGCTACCTCGATCACGACCTTCCAGATGTTATAGGAGGCCCAGTATCGGTCATCTGTTGCGGAGCCGGCCGAAAAGGGGACATGCGCCAGGGTGTGCAATGATGTCGTCGGGTCGCAGGAGAGGGTCTTATTCGGAGGACGTATCGCCCTTGGTCGGGTAGGTATCAATTGGCGGTAGCTGGGTCCGAAGACATAGTTTCGCGGGCGTTGTTGACAGGTGAAGGAGGAAGGATGTCGTGGTAGGAGTTGAGAAAACGTGTGCCTTTTGCCAGGATAGCAAATGCACATTGCAAGGCCAAATCTGGACCTTTGAGGACCCAAGGTGCAGGGTCACAGGGCGTGTGCCAGCGCGCCTATGGGGCGGGTCCGTGTCTATTGGACCAGGGGGCCCTGGAACCTGGACTCGGGACCGCAATCGCCGCTCCGCATGTTCCAGTGGAGAGACACCGTAATACCACTGTGATAAGCATTCGATGCCGTGTTCAGGCGTCAGAGAGCTGCATGATACTGCTAACGTGCCGGTCTCGTGGTTGCGGCACTCACAGCGTCATCAGAGCTAAATGGAATGAATCGGTGGTCTTTTCTTGGTACGACTAGCAGAATTGCTATGTGGTACATGCACTAGCAAAACCATAGCTATGCGCCACAGGTATTTGCAAGAACTGTGTGTTCCTAAGAAGAGCGAGGACGATGTCAAAAGACTTTTACAATGATTCGTCCAAATCGCATACTTGACGCGTGGTGAAGCCAAAGTGTCTCCAGTCTATTTTTGCTGGGATTTCCAGGGTGCGCAACGACAGAAACGGATGGGGAGGCCCAATAGCAATTCAGATATTGGTGTTGCCCGTTTGCGGTTTCATCTCATCCGCGTGGTTCCAAATGAGGCGGCAGCCAGGTGAACTCCTCGGTTGGCATTGTCCTCTTCAATAATGCTCGTTGGCTCTCTGTAAAAGACTGCCTCATTGGATGTAAGAGAATAGGTCTTCTTGCAGTCATGAAAAAGGAAGCGCATATTGCAAACATCAACGAGGCTTAACCAACTCGGAGCTGCAAGTGGCTGGGTCCAGTGTGTGTACCTTGCAGCGGACCATGCGCTAGATGGCTTCTCGGGAGGCTCAGAAGAATACCGGGCTGGAATCGAGACGCTTGAAGCTTGGATCTTGACTGCTTAGGTAAGACAGCCCAGGAGCTTAGACCACATCTCGACCAGTCCGACGGTAGATATCGGGACGGTCTGATACGGCAAGGGTGTTGAACTAAGTCAGGGGTTAGAGTTAATACTCTGCGGGAAAAGTACTTCGTACACAAGTTTTTTCCATATCATGCGGGATGAATCGAAAGACATCTTGAACAGCTGGTAAATCACTTCTCTGTCTGATTTTAGAGCTATTTGGCGTGGAAATATCAGGTAAGGTGGTAGCTAGGTATACCGGCCGCCGCTTCCGGGACGGTCGCCGGGACAGCAGGTGGACTGCTCAAAAGTGGAGCAACGGATCTCACGTGATGTGGCTGGTGCCACCGTGCCACCCAAATTCTGCGCAAACCAATCCCTGCCCCATCCCAGCCCCGTCATTTTGCGTCCGCTGGGCCAACCGTCGAGACAGAATAGACCACTCACCACACCTTGATTCCCCCCTCCTACTCACTTCCTCCATCTCCCTCATCGTCGCTCATCGCGCTTTTGCTCCCATCGCTATCGCTACCCCAGCGCATTTCGCCTCCTGCGATACAAATTATTTGCTTCATGTCGCCGCGACTCGCTTTTTGCGCGTGCTAGACTCATCACCGACCGCTACATCGACAACGCGACCGAATTTGCACCACAACGCGTCCCCTTGTTTACCAGAGCAAGCTTCCGAGCCGAACCCGCCCCTCCAACCCCGGCGCGCGTCGCTGTATAATACCTCACGGGCAATAGCTCTTGTTCATAACCCCTCTCCTTCACCAACTTGCATCAAATCAATCCCGAGCCGTCGCCATGTTCTATTCCGACGCGCTGCTCGGAAAGAGCGGTCCTCTTGTCCGCGTATGGCTGTCCGCCAACCTCGAGCGCAAGCTCTCCAAGACGCACATTCTGCAGTCCAACTTGCCCGACAGTGTAGAGGCAATCATCACACCCGGCCAGGCCCCCATGGCCTTGCGTCTAAGCGGTCAGCTGCTGCTCGGTGTCGTCAGAATTTACAACCGCAAGGCCCGCTACTTGCTCGAGGACTGCAATGAGGCTTCCATGAAGATCAAGATGGTGCGTTTTCTTCCTTGCACCCATCGCTTACGCGTTTCACTGACATTCTCAGGCCTTCCGCTCAAGTGACAACCACGATATTCCCGCCGCCAACCTGTACGTCAACAATCGCGAAGCTCTGTTGCTGCCTGACAAGATCACTCCACTCGACAACCTCGATCTGCCCCCGCCTCCCGATGCTGCCTGGCTTTTGTCGCAAATGGACGATGTGACGGCCACCCCTGTGGGTCGCAAGGGCCGCGTTAGCAACCGTGACATCAATCTGCAGGAGGATTTCAACAACAGTCAATTCCTGAACCAGGCAGACACCCTGGATGATGAGCTGGAGTTGGCGCCAATGGAGGATCTCGACTTGGAGCTGGACTTTGGCATGGACGTCGATGAGCCTATTGGCCGTATGGACACCACGATCGAAATGGGAAGAGACGCGCCCCTTGCCCGCTCTGTCGAGGACGACATCTTCAGCGAGCTCGACATCATGCCGCGCGGAAAGGACCAGCCGGAACGCGAGGCCTCACTTGGCTTGGATCTCAACTTCGGCGACGACAACGTTCGCATTGCTGACGAGGAGGGAGACATTCAAATGGGTGACGACAACGACTTCCAGTTCCCCATCGCCGATCAGTCCGTCGTTCCTGGGGCCCCTCTCGACATGGCTCGCGCCCGCATTTCCGAGTCCCCGCTTTCAGAGATCGACCCCGAGTTCGCAAGGGAGGTTGAGGAGGAGTACTCTCGCATCCAGCACACCGACCTGTATGAGCCCGATGAGGACCAGGACCTGTCAGTCGTTCGCCACCCTCAGCGCGCCAAGAAGAGGAAGGTTCTCCAGCCGGATGAGCAGACCATGCTCTCCAGCACTCACATCAAGGACCAGCAAGCCAACCACGCGAACATTCTGAGAGCTCAGTCCTTCCTGCCCAAGGACCCCTTCGTCCTCGCTTTGATGGAGATGCAGAAGAGCGGAGGCTTTGTTTCTAACATCATGCTTGAGGGACGCGGCACAAACTGGGCACCTGAGCTGAGAGGCATGCTTTCCCTCGAGGCTATCAGCCGATCCAGCGAGCTGAAGAGAAAGCGCGACAGCGGCATCGCCGATGTTGAGAGTGATCAGGGTATCTCTTCCAAGTCACCACGCCTGAACGTGGATGAGGAGGATGCTTTCGCCATTGAAGATGCCGGCCTGGGCAACCAAAGTGTTGCAGCAGACGGCACCATTCTTGAGATCCCGGCCGAGGACGATGGCATGGGCTTCGGAGGAGACGATGACACTGCCAGACCCGTCTCTCGCGAGGCAAGCCCGATGCCGAACTTCGACGACACCGTTGCCCCCAACGTCCACCCCGAAGACAGCGGCCCGGTTTCCCTCGGCACCAAGCATGCCGTGCACGTCCTCAGAGATATTTTCGGCCCCGACGCCGAGCACGATGCCGACAAGCGCAAGAAGAGCGCAGTTGTCTTCCAAGACTTGCTCCCCGAGAAGAGAACAACAAAGGCCGACGCGACAAAGATGTTCTTCGAATGCCTCGTCCTCGCGACAAAGGATGCGATCAAGGTCGAACAGGGCGAAAACCTGGGAGCTCCTATCAAGGTCCGCGCAAAGCGTGGCCTCTGGGGAGCCTGGGCCGAGCGCGAAGCTGGCGGCGAGATTGCAGAGGAGGAGGAGGCTAACCAGCCAGAGCCTGCTGCTGTCAGCGCGCCCGCCGTCGCCGTTGAGGCATAGATGCCGGTCGCATTTTTGACGAGGAGTTTCCGATTGATGCATAGCTGTTGGGTCGGGATCTTGGCATGTAAAGTACACTGTTCTTTCTCCCTGTTGGACTAAGTTTGGGGTCGGTCCTGGAAATGGCACCCGGCCAAGTGGCGTTCGGAGTACCGGAGGCTGGAGAGATACCAGATGCTGTTGCGGCCTGGGAGGGAAAAAGCATGATTTGGGTTCCAGAGCCGCGTCTCTTTGTTCTTGTTTATTGGAGGTTTAATGTCGTTTTCTGGGTTTTGCGCGTTGCTAGTATAGCTCGTTTTGATGGCTCCAAGCCCAGGATACCGCAGTAGCTACTTAGCTGTCTTCATCGTCAATGAAGCTAGACATTTCCTTCCAACTTGAATCGTTCCGTATGCTATGTGATGTGAGCAGAGCTCGACGCAATCCGTGACTGAACATGCCGAATTCTCCCTGGCTCTCGGGATCGAGGTCAACATGCCGATATCCCACCGGGCGAATATCTTGGACGACCTCAAGCCCAACAGACTAACATAAAGGCCAAGGCCCTCGGGCAGACGAGACTGGCCTTTTCCCCCCGCTTTAGAGATATCCCCAGATTGTTTGTTTGACAGATAAACGCGGAGAATCCTTGCTTAACATGCAGCTCATCCTTACCGGTGCATACAGGGACCGATCTATTGGACATACGTGAGCCACACACTCGCAAAAAGATATCCTTCGATATGGCTCATCCTGCGCTCTATGCACTCCGCACGACTCCCAAAACCCCGCCGGGACCCCAAGATTTCCCCGGAGTTGAATTCCAGAGACATCACTGGCTGAGATGGCGTCGGCATCTTGAGCTGTCGGTATCTTGGGTTATATAAGGGTGGCTTTCATCACACGGATCTATGTATGCCATCTACTATCCTCCTTCTACCAGCCAATATCGAGGCTCCAAATTATCTCTCTTCATCACCGGCACCATGGGTTTCGCAGCAGCCGAAAGGACGACCGACCCCCCCGAGGTCCGCAACTGGACGATCCACTACATCGCCCTCGTGGCCTCCATGGCAGCCCTCTCTAGTAAGATTACGAGACCTTCCCCCTCACTGATTCAGATCTCGACTTACAAAACTTCTCCTCCTTAGTGGGCTACGATACCGCCGTGATCGGCGGCACAATGTCGCTCGACTCCTTCGTCCGCGACTTCGGCATCGCCAACATGACCCCCTCGGAGCGCGACAACTCCCAGGCCAACATCGCCTCCATGTTCCAAGTCGGCGCCTTCTTCGGCGCCCTGCTGACCTTCCCCGTCGCCGAGAAGTACGGCCGCAAACGGGCCATCATGACCGCCGCGCTCGTCTTCTGCGTCGGCGGCGCCATGATGTCCGGCGCGAACGGAATGCTGGAGCTGGTGTACGCAGGGAGGGCGATCGGCGGCTTAGGCATCGGCATGGCGACGATGACGGTGCCGGTGTACATTGCCGAGACGTCGCCGCCGAGCATCCGCGGGAGGCTGGTGGGCGTGTTTGAGATCTTCTCGCAGGGGGGCGGGATGCTTGGGTTCTGGATCAACTATGCCACGGACCGGACGATCGACGAGCGCGAGAGAGCTCAGTGGATCGTGCCGTTGGCACTACAGCTTCTCCCGGCCGTGTTGCTCTTTTTCGGGATTATGTTCTGTCCGGAGTCGCCGCGGTGGCTTGCCCGCGGGGATGACTTCGAGGCGGCGGAGAAGGTGTTGGTGCATATTCGCGGGCTCCCTGCGGACCACCCGTATGTGCAGAATGAAATGAGGGAGATCAGGCAGCAGGTTGAGGAGAGGAGCACGATGCGGTTGAGCAAGAAGCAACAGTTTCGAAAGTTATTGGCCCCGGGAACGAGGAATCGGGTTGGAGTTGGTGCTTTCCTGATGTTTCTCCAAAGTTTCACGGGTGTCAACATCATGACATATTTCAGCCCGAGGATCTTTGAGACGTTGGGTATCGTGGGAACCAGGTATTTATCTCTTTCTAGAGTTGAAGGGATGATGCTAACAACTCTTCTGTAGCAACAAATTGTTCAGCACCGGCATCTACGGTGTTGCTAAGATGCTCGGTATGATACTGTTCGCTGTGTGGGTCGTCGAGAAGGTCGGTCGCCGCGGAGGACTCCTTTGGGGATCTCTGATAGGCAGCCTGCCTCTTTGGTACGTGGGCGGCTACGTGATGATTGCAGACCCAGCCACGAATGCCGCCGAAGGAAACATCCAGTTGAGCGGATGGGGTTATTTTGCCATGGTATGCATATATCTGCACTCTTTTATAATTTGCGCGACAATCCAGGGAATCACCTGGACATATGCAGCGGAGATCTTCCCGTTGGATGTCAGAATGTTTTGCGTTGCGATTTCAACAGCAAGCACATGGCTGGGTTCGTTCGTAGTGGCCAGAGCCACGCCGTTCATGATCACAGACCTGGGGTACGGAACCTACTTCATGTTTGCTGGGTTCTTGATTGGCATCGGGTTGTGGTCGTTTTTCTGTGTTCCTGAGACGAAAGGTAAGGACTTCCGTTCAAACCTAGTAACGTTCCATCACTGATGCTTCACAGGAGTCTCGCTGGAAGAGATAGACGCCCTCTTCTCACGGCCTACTCATATTGCCGTCTGGGCACAACTTCGCGGCAGGCCGATTCTTCCCCAGGACAATAGTTCAGTCGCTGGATCCATGGATAAGAATGATGCAAAGGTCGATGAAGTGGCATAGTCGCTTCATGTCCGCGGCCGAATTCACCAATACCACTGATCGGTGAACCCGGGGTGCGTTCGGTCCTTGGCTCGGCCCCACCCCGGCTACAGCTCCGTCTAAGAGCGGAAAGCTTTATTTGGTCACGGTGTCTCAAACATGAAAGGCACGATTGTATAAACTCTCCAATTGCAATCCAACCCCTTACAAGCGCTTATCTTACGTCCCGAAATGTTAGCAGAGTCCGGCGCTGACGTGGAGTCAGACTATGCCGGCGATCCGGCATACATGGATCATTAGCATAAGCCTTTACAGTAGCCAATAGATCCGCCTTTAACAACTGCCTATTTTCTGACATATGCATTTGAGATCCCGGGCGATCTTACCAAAGCGATCGTCATACACGTTGATTTAAACTGCTAAGCCCAGCAGACAGTAAACCTGCGAACTTTATCTTGCCCCTCAGTGCACCTCTCTCCGTCCCTGGCAAACCGTCCAATTTCGCATCAAACAAAGAGTCGCTCTTCTATATTTTTTGGCAGCTCTTTCAATTTGAAATTTAAAAAATGACGATTAAATCGCGTTTCGTGGAGCCGATTCCGATATGTTCCCTTCAGACATGGATATTTGGCTCCGCTACTGAAGAGTTATCAGACTCCCAGAGGCCAGTATTTATCGATGCTGATCGTCCAGAGTCCCATGCCGTGTCAAGATCAGACTTCAGACTACTGTCCAAACGAATAGCACTGGGACTCATCGATGTCGGCCTCAAAGCGCAGGATCGGGTTCTGGTGTATTCCGGCAACACCATTTTCTATCCGAGCCTCTTCCTCGGTGTGTTGATGGCGGGCGGTATCTACACTGGAGCTAGCCCTAACTTCACTGTTCGCGAACTTACACATCAGCTACGAGACTCGGGGGCCAAGTTCGTGTTTGCAGCGCCAGAGAACCTCCCCGTCGCTGTCGAGGCCGCCTTGTCTGCCGGCATATCACCAAGCAGAGTCTACATATTCGGAGCGGATGATTACAGGGCTGTCCCCCAGTTCTTCGCTTTCAGTGACGATCGCAGCAACGGCCCTCGGCATTGGACCGAACTGATATCTGGGAATGAGGTCGCAGCCAGGGATTGGGTTTGGTTTGAGCCGGAGGATCCTGCATCGACGACTTGTTGTCTGAACTACAGCAGCGGGACAACTGGGGTACCCAAAGGCGTCGAGGTTACACATCATTCCTATGTCGCCAACTGCGTTCAAGTCATCAGTTTGTTGAACAAAGCTCCGGGCATTGAAGAATTCAGACAGAGGGAAAGGACGTTGTGCTTCCTGCCTCTTTACCATGCGTTTGCGCAGACATACTTCGGGGCCATCTTTCCGGCTCTGCGTGTCCCGGTCTACATCATGGCTGCATACAACTTCGAGAGAATGCTTCAGCACATCCAGAATTTCCGCATCACCACGCTCGTTGCCGTACCTCCAGTCCTGGTCAGCATGGCAAAGAACCCGATAGCCAAAAAGTACGACATGTCCAGTCTCGAGAACATCAGTGGTGGCGCTGCTCCGCTGTCCGGCGACACAATCGAAGAAGTCGGCAAGATGTGCTCGCCTGGCGCATCGGTCAGGCAGGGATGGGGGATGACGGAGATGACGTGCTACATCTCCAGCTGGGACTCTAATGTGAAGAACGAAAGCGCTTCGGTCGGCGAGCTGATGCCGAACCTTTCGGCGCGGCTGATGCAGCTGGATGGGAAGACCATGATCACGAGGCCACACGAGCGTGGAGAGATTTGGCTGACGGGGCCGACGCTCATGAAGGCGTATTGGAAGAACGAGAAAGCAACGGGCGACACGGTGCAAGTGGATGCCGATGGAACCAGGTGGATGAAAACTGGCGACGTCGGGTTTGTCGATCGGTATGAGACGGGCGCACTCTTTTACATTGTTGATCGCATCAAAGAGTTGATCAAAGTAAAGGGAATTCAGGTTGCGCCGGCTGAGCTGGAGGCTACCCTGTTGGAGAACGAGAACGTATCGGATGCTGCAGTCGTGGGAGTAACGATCAACGGGCATGAGGTTCCTCGAGCTTACGTCGTCAAATCCGGCGGTTCTCAAATTACTGCGGAGGAAGTTGCTCAATGGATGGAGGGAAAGGTTTCGAAACACAAGCATCTTAAAGGAGGTGTACGCTTTATTGATGCGATCCCGAAGAATCCGGTAAGTGTTGAATTATTTACATGAAGCCTTCGCTAATATTCAGCTCCCAGTCCGGTAAGATTTTGCGCAGGGCGTTGAGGAATCAGGCCCAAAGGGAAGTAGGCGACAGAAAGCCTTTCGATTTCAAACTTGTTTGAAAAGCACCGCTAGATTGTCGAGTTGCGAGATGGGAGTTTCTCTTTTACAGGATGATTGCGACTTTCTGAGTAGAGCTTGAGGGAGAGGTATAGAGGACCTAGAAACAAAACATGATGGATGTTCACATAGATCAAATAGCAGAAACTCAATCTTTTTTCCAAGCCGAGACTTTGTTGGAGACTCAACCCATATTTGTGGCTACTTTCAGAATGAGACATCTGAGTTTTCCCCTAGAAGATCGCCACAGCTCCTGGCGGGCTTGCAACCCCGCCAGGGACATTCAACGGCACACTCAAAAACATGAATGACCACCTCTGCTCCTTGTTACATTTCGCAGCCAAGTCTTCGAGATCAAAGCTCTCTCCAATGGGCATGCCCCATCCGCTGAGGAAGACTTCGTGCATGCTAACACCCCATAGCTTCGGGCTAGGCCAGGCCTCGTACGCAACAGTGTCAGAAGCTACAGCTGCGAAAGCGTTGTCCCAGTGCCATTGAATAGACTCTTCAGTCGCTTCAACTCCGCAACTTGATCGGACTTGCCGACGTGGTAGGGCGGCTTGCTGGTCCACGGACAGAGCGCGATAAGCCTCGAGCCATCCGGTTCGGACTAGAAGTATATCACCAGGACGGAAGTGGACCTTTTGGGCGCTCGCAACGGCCTTCAGTTCGGAGAGCGGAATGCCGTGAGCTGAGAACGGATCAATCTGGATGCCTTGTTCCATGGCCCACGAATACCAATCCAGGAGAACGCCGCGGCCAGTGACGGTCTTGTTGGCGATGTCTGTCTTGCCTTAGTTAATTTCAATCGGGAGGTTAAGAACACGGTACTTACTTTGGACTCCAATCTTTGAGTTCGCTTTAGGACCGGATATATCGTCTTGAGTCACACCATTGTAGTACTGAAGGGTCGACTGGTAAGGGTAATGTCGAGGACCGTCCCAGTGACTTGACCCCTGGGTGTTGATGTCTAGCTAGCATAGAAGTTAGATGGGTTTACGCCAGCCTGTCCTCTCAAGATCGGCTCACCTCGTCATCATTTGCATGTCCTTTGGCGATGATGTTATGGGAACATGGCTTGCGGACTGGGTTCATCGGTTGGATAAATGCATTCAGGGGAAGGCTGATGGAGAGGAATGATATTAGCATTCACTAGTGTATGCGAATAGGATAAGTGAGGGACTGCAGCTTACTTCAGGGGTACCGTTTCTCCAGTAACAACCTCAGAAGTCGCAGCCTTAACCAGAGATGGGTTGAGTAAGTTGAGAGTTCCCAACTCATCTTCAACACCCCATAAGCCCCATGCAGATGCCTTGGGGTCGCCCTTGCGAAGGGGTAACTCGCTGAAACTTGGCCGAGAACTTGTCTTAGTCGTCGTAATAGCGCCCATATTTCTGTGTCAAAGTAACTGATAGTAAGATGATATATTTCGAATCAATCACGGTATATAACAGACTCGGAGACATTCATCCGAGAGTGGCTGTGCCAGTGCCTGTGTCGGTGCCAGATTCCGACCGGGGATCCACTTCCCCGGCAGCAATGCCGATGGTGGTTCGGCAAGATCGGTATGCTCTTCGGTACTTGAGCCACAACAAATTTGATGCGGGGTCAGGTCTCTCTCAACAAGCGGTTGGCAAACTTCTTACGTAGTTGCTACCATGCCTTCGTCTTAGTAAGACTGTACTCCGGAGGTGTTCAACTGAACGCGATAAAGATGATCTCTCCCCGCGATGTAAAACCAATCCTCTACCCACTGCATGTTCACGGCAACATCGCCCTCCGCGACTCTGATGATACCAAGCTGCTTGCCGCTGGGGTCAAAAACACTAACTCCGCTCGTCACTCCTCCGTATACCCGGCCATCCCGGTCCACTTTGATGCCGTCCGGAAACCCCGAATCGGCATACGCAAAGACATCCCCGCCGCGCAATGGGAGTCCCGTTGAATGAATCTGGTATTCATAGATTGTGCGACCACCAGCTGGATTGTCTGACGCATTGCCGCGGTTTGTGACGTAGAGCTTGTCCTCCTCAAGATTCAGAGCAACACCATTTGGGTTGGTAAAAGGACCACCACCAGCGCCGGCAACCATCCTTAGGTCGCTAGTCCCCATATCCCACCTCCAGACACCGTTGGCTAACTCCGGCTTCAAAGTGTCGTTGAAGTTATCATAGCCGTAGTACCCATCGGTGAAATAAGCAACCCCGTCTCGTGTGATAACCACGTCATTGGGGCTGTTGAATCGATGCCCAAAGAAGTTGTTGAGAACAATTTCTGTTTCCAGTGTAACAGGATCCATTCGAACAATACCACCGGGGTTCGTGTAGTTGCCCTCTTGTGCCCAGTAGACGCTCCCGTTGTGGTAGTAAGCGCCGTTAGGAACTGTGAGCTGTGGCGAGGGATAGACCTTCTCCGTAGTCGGTGGCGTGTCATTGAGATTGACTCGCCATACCCATGGCATCGCGTCTGCGGAGAATCCCTCCTTTGGTGGGTGTAGCTCGGCGAAGAAGATGCAGTTGCATTCAGGCGAGAAGACGGTTCCGTCGTGTACTATACGCCGCGAGAACGAAGGTCCAGGAGGAAAGTCGAAGATCGACTCAATTGCAGCAAACTCAGTGCCATCGTTCACTTGTAATATCTTGCAAAACGTCAGTTAAACTACTTGTCTATAGAAAC